ATCCTTCTAGAAACTCCAACGCGCATGCTTCCAGCGTCGCATGACTTCCACTGTGGTAACAGTATATTTTTAGAGTAATCATTACACTCATTTGCAAGACTTAATATTAAGATTAAAAATTTACAAGACTCGTAAACATGTCATGTGTCCTTAAGTTCAGCGGCAAAAAATAATAAGACATTGTAACTGCACCTTCCAAAGAAAAAAACATATAAAATTCTACCCAAAAATATTTCAGAAGAAAGAACTATCTCGGTGACTGCCCTGGCTTTCACCGAATACCTGCCAAGTTTTCTGTTTTGTTGTGTTTAAAATTATTGTATCAGTTGATTTTGCGTTTTATTCTAAGTGTTTAATTAATCTGACACTTAGAACATACAAAATCTGAAGTACAACTATGTGTCTAATCACTCTTAAATTTAACAAGAAACTCAAAATAAAATGAACAACTCTTCGATTTTGTAATTTTGTTAAACTTTTAATCTGTGCTTAACATTTATTAACAATATAAAGATAAGGACAGTTTTAAAGTATTACTTGTTTTTGTTGGTTCTATAATTATCTTAACCAATTTTCGAAAATGAGCACGTCTTAGTTATTTCCTACAATGTCATGGTTTTATAAAGTTAGTAAACTGAGTACTTTTTCTGAAGTTTGTGAATGAAATATATATATATAGCAGTTTTATTGCTAGCACAGCTAATTAACAAAATTGTTGATTAACGAATAAACATATTCAATATATACATACTTATGTACACATTGTCATTGTTATGTTGAATTTCGCGCAAAGTTACTTGAGGGATATATGCGCTAGCCGTCCCTAATTTTGAACTGATATACTAGAGGGGAAGGCAGCTAATCAAAAGCACCAACTCTTCGTCTACTCTATTCGAATAATAAGATTCACTCTTACTCTTATAACATACACACGGTCCCAAAGTGTGGAGTGCTAGTTTTTGTTTAGGTGACAGGGAGCGAACCATGGACCATCGGATTCATAGTCCAGCACACTAACTATAAGGCCATACCCGGCTCTCTAGTGGTACAGACTGATTGATTAAAGTTAACTCTTAGAAAGGATAATTCATCAAGTACGTAGTTGATGAGTACTGAATTAACTGTTGTATATTCTAGTTTGTTTCACATGAGATAAACAATCCATAATTGGGCTTCTGCAACGAATATGAACTTCAATAAATGTTATCTTTCATAAATTGTCTTATAAAACCTTCCTCGAAAAACTGAAATAGCTACTAGTTCGATTTAATTTGAAAGATAAAATGACCCATATAACTAGCTGATGAATTAGTCAATCCTGTAACGAATAAGCTAACTAATCTCAAGTGTGAGAGTCCCAATCATCATAAAAGTATTTTTATAGCTTTGTCGAAAACAGAGAAACGAATCTTGTAAAATTCAAAACTTTAGATCTGTGTTTTGGCAAGAACGGGATTTCTTCAAGGTAATCTTTCATGAATAAGGGGCAAATTGCACTTTACATTTATTTACAAGTCATTTATTTCATTTGATTGTTTATTCCAATTTACTTCCGTGCAGAACCAAACAACAGTAACAAAATGTACAAAGTTAGATGATTCCATGACTGCTCTCATGAATACACCAAACTTCTTCTCAGGTGCAATTTATTAATGATCCCTTTCCTAGAAAAACAACAACAAAATAAAACAAAAGAGTTGACGTGTATTTTTTAATCAGATGTTGGTCTCTGATAAAACTAAATAAAAAGGGTATATATAAAGTGTATTTTCAACTAACTTTGCTTTTGCAAATTACTTTCCAATTTTAACTTGTAACGATTTACTTGATGTTTGATTAACTGTGATTATTAGTTTTTTTTGGTTGCTGTTAAGCGAAAGCTATACAATGGTTACCTATGCTGTGATTAGCGCTATGAGCCCTCGGACACTAGGGGGCTGTTATGTGAGTAATTTTGACTTTGTAATATTGATACAAACATTATTGTAAAAGAAAAAGCCCATAAGTAGAAAGAAACTCTGAGAGTGGGACTCGAAATAATGTTGATATGTCATGTTTATAGAGCTAGATGAACAAATTTGTTTTTATGTTCTAAATTTTTAGACAAACCTACTGCTGAGTGGAGATGTTTTGACATATCCGAGAGAGATAGCTACGATCCATATGTTTTGATTATGCATCTTTATCAAGAGATTACATACCATAATGGCAATGTCTTAACAAAAGCAAAACGCATTGAAACTGCTTAAAACTATCACTAAATGCCGTCAAAAATGTACAAGTTAAACATTTTACCAAACTACCCATTTTACTTCACCGACTGACGCATTGAAACTGCTTAAAACTATCACTAAATGCCGTCAAAAATGTACAAGTTAAACATTTTACCAACTTTATCGACTGAACCACTAGGGTGTATGTTCAGAGATAAATTTTCCTTATAATAGCAATTGAAAGTCACTAAGCCTAAAGTACAACTTTACTGACTAGCTCTTTCTCTATTTGTATATGTTTTTGATTAAATCGACATTTACAAGTTTAGCATGTGTAAAACTATCTTCATTAAGTGGCAGAACATTGTGTTCAGTTAAATACTCAAAGCCTGAGTTACTTAGGCTTGAGATTTTCTGTTTACGACAGCTTGTAAGTAAAAAATATAATATATATAATTCAGTATTTGGAGTAATGTTCCTACATATTGCATTGTCACAAATAAAAAACGTTCTCAAATTATCAAGAAAACCAACATGGAAAATATTTTTAAATCCTCAAGTAGGCTTACCATGTTAGATTATCAGACTTTTTTCTTAGAAATACTCGCGGGAACAGAAGTTTGATCAGACGAACTTTTGAAACAGAAAATATATCTGATAACTTATTCGAAAATTTCGCCACGACCTATGTTTTCACAGAGCAAAGGTTTGAATGATATTATAGAGAATAAAGTTTCCTGTAGTCTTGACGTTTTAAAAAAGGCAAAATGTTGAAGTTTAACATGGGATATCGAATGTGTCTTCTGTGTTTGCTGAAGTTTAATTTCATATTTATCATTACTATTACGATAGAGCATTTTACGCCCTATATCAGCGTAATGTTAAGTAGATGTAAGTGAATGATTATAGAACTATTCTGTTACATCTTTAACACATAATCTTATTATAAAAAATAATCATATTAAAATATGTTATTTTATTTCTTGTAACTTTAAAGTAAAATTTCTCATAGTTTCTTTTGAAATAACATACGCTCTTAGTGTAACACAGTTGTACCGGTTACTATTAGTAATAGCAGTTTTTAAAATTGAAATTAATCCTGTTCCTTGTAATGTGTGATATTTAAGTATAAGTAATCTTTATTTGTTTGTTTGTTTTTAATTATACACAAAGCTACACAAGGGCTATCTGTGCTCTGCCTACCACAGGTATCGAAACCCGGTATCTAGCGTTGTAAGTCCGCAGACATACCGCTGTGCCACTGGGGGGGGGGCAATCTTTATTTATAGATTAATTTGGTAATTCAGTTACCTGATGTTTGATCATCTTTGTGTCAAATCTTTGAAATGATTTTCAGAACACACCAAATTCTTTATGAAGTCAACTATACAGTATTTAAACACGATATTGCAAAAAATAAATAAACGTTATATGTCACGAAAATTACCACGGACTAAAAATTTCACACTTTTCTAAAAGAAGAAATGGTTAACATTTCCGAATCTACAATTCTTGGTGGATTTATTTTACTACTGTGAATAATATAGTCTTTTCTGTGAAGTTAAATTGTAAAATGATAGAAAACTGTATTAGATAATGAAGTTATGAAGTACTGTCATCCATTCGTAATATGTGTAATTAGTATATATATATTTCATTCGCTTATTTAATTTTTTTTTTTTTCAAAGTTGACATAATCATTTGGAGGTATTGATTTGTCGCCATCGTAAAACGTAACAAAACGACTCAAAGTGCTGCCATCTATTGTTTGTCCTACCACAAAGTGTAGAAGGAAAATTGGATTGCAAAAGCAGTTTCTGTTATTTTCATTTGACTATTTCCAAAACATTTTATTTTCTCTGAACGAAATGAATAGTTTGATAATTAAAAAAATAATACTTTTAGTATTCTTAAACACTAGCTTGACAAATAAAAATAATTTCTTGTTCGGTCAATATTCAGCATCATTTTTATCAACTTTCTTCGTACACTACTTGGTTTATGCACTGTACTTTTAAATTCAAGGACTGCTTTAGAAGTTTCGAAAGGTATGGAATAATATTCAGTATGTAGGGAGTTACAGTTACTGATTAAATATCGGTTATGTTCAGGTAATGCTCCTAATCGCAATTTAACCTTTTACAGTTTAGTCTTTCCATGTTTTATGCAATAATAAACATTTTCAATCTTCGAGATGTAAAAAATTTAATTCGATTCAATTTTAAGAATACATGTATGATGAATAACGGAAACATTTACTAATACTTTCACACAGATGCTTGACCTTCTAGAGTAGTGAATACGCTGTTGGTTTTGGCCAGGCACAGAATCTTTCTTTCTCTCCCTTGATTGGGCCAAGTTGAACGGTCGCCTGGCAGCCCTTTTCTTTTCTCAACCCCTTCCCCATGCAGACATTTATCCCCCTCCCCCCATCTTAAGCAGCAGGGCATAAATAGTGGTTGTCTACGGTTAACGGAAGCAGAAAGAGACCGGGAATCGAGTCACGAACGCTTATTCACGGGATACGTGAAGTTATAACGGGGAGGTTTAGATATAAAACGTCCGTTAGATATTAAGGTGTTTACACAAAACAGTTCAGCTAACGTCAGATTCTTCTCTACTTTCTCTCTCGATCTTGATATTTTGAGAAAGATAAACAAACTACAATCTTTGAAAAGCTTCAGTGTAGAGCAGTTTTGAGCTAATCTTTTAAAGATAGTTATTGCTCTTCTTGTGCTGTTTTATTTCACGAGTGACATAGTGTCCTGCTAAACGAGGATTAGGAATAATAACAAAGTGACAACTTTTTTTTTCTTTGATTCGAACACGCCTACCTTACTTTAAAGAATCAACATTGGTGAGTACGGAAACTTGTTGTATCCAGGAGTGTAATTCGTGTAACATTTGAGTGTGTGTGATTTTTATTTTGTTTTTTATTTGAGAACGACACGTTGAATGTTCGACTTGGAAAATGAAAGGCGTTAGATATGAAGGGCTTTGTCTGTCAGTTTTGATGTGATACTCCATTTATTACATCGTAAGGCGTAAATATATATTATTTAACTATATGCTGCATTAAAATAAAAGGTGTAATCGAGATTGAAAATTAAAGTCAAGAGTTTTTCTAGGTGAGAAGGCCGTTTTCATGCTACTACCGATGGTAAGAATATCTGAATATACAAATTTGGAAACAAGCCAAGAATGGAAACTAAAGTATGCGAATGGATTGGATAAAGAATTTGGATTTAAATCTTAAAGTTCTACGATTGATGATAAATTAGCATGGAATTGTTTGTTGTGATTTTTAAACACTTCTAAGTCGTTATTAAACACTCAGGTAAAAACTTTGATTATCCATAAGCGTTCATAGACGACACACAAAATATGTATAGATCAAACTCGTTAGTTCGTGGGATTAATTTCGAGTAGAATCGTGTCAAAGTTTCAGAAAAAACTGGCCATCTCGTAAAGACCTGAAACTGTTTGTATCGGCGGTTGAATCTTCCCAGATACTACCTGTACAAATCATGAGGAACTGGACGTGGATTTTCCTAGTTTCTTGTTTCTGCTTGAGTGGCTTGCACGTGCAACAAGTGTCCTCGAACGGTATACGGCACGTCAAGAGACTCCTAAAACAGCCGCATTACTCCAGACACACAGTAAGTGACTAGTCATCTAGGAATTTAAAAATGAGGGAAGTGGCTATAATATTTACTTATTGTTTAACAAAAATAACTTGTTTGTTTTGTTGAATTTCACACAATGTTACACAAGAGCTATCTGTGCTACCTATTCTTAATTTTGAAGTGATAGATTACAGGGAAGGTAGTTAGTCAACACCACCCACCGCCAACACTTGGGCTACTCTTATCAAACTGAAATAATGGGTTTTGATCTGCATTTTAAATACAACCACGGCCCCCAAATGCAGAGCACAGTTTGTAAATGGTAGTAATATAATGAACAGTAAGTACTACATAGTCCGGCACGCTAGCCAAAGGGCAGCGCTCGGCCAAATAATTTAAAAGTTAAATGCATATTGTTCATTAAGATTGTGATGTATTGTTTTATGAATTTTCGGAAATATTTATTTACGTCTAATATATGAACGAAGTATGGTGTATTAATTACTCATGAAAGAGATGTGTTACTATCACTTGAGGCACTTCACGTGGTTGTTACTTAATGTTGAACGTAATCGGATACGTATTAGAGTTCAGATACGTAGATTCCACATTACATTACCTCTGAAGTGCACGCGAGATCTGGAAGTTTTGGTTATACAAGAAAAAAAAAATGGTAAAGACTCCCTGTTTTATCTTTATCAACGAGTTTAATGGAAGAACTACTTGACTGCGGATAAGTTTCAACAGTTTGTTTTTTAATAATGGATAAGTTCCTTAAGGGTGTATTTTATTTTCGTTGTGTGTTGTCCTGGGAATAGAATTTGGGCTTTTCAGTTTTTTTTTCTGATGAAATTAGTTTTTAAATAAGCCGTAAATTGAAGAGACATAAAAAAAATACTGTGGTAGTTATGATAAAATTTGATAACGAATACTCTCAATTATTCGGGTCTAGATTTTCTGTTTAAATGAAGGTTTTTAGAAGTCTCTGTTTCAATGATAATTAACGTACAAATTACGTGTGGACGGTGTTGTATACGTAAATAAATCCTATTTTAGTAATAAAATTTCTCGAGAGAACTAATGAACATGCTCATTGGTTAAAGTTTGGACTTGTTCCTTTTTTCAGAACCGTACGTGATTGCTATTAGGATTATATAAATGTTTCTGAGGAAATTAGCAGTAAATTTGTCATAGTTATAGCACTGTGAGACGATATTTGTGACAAACTCTGCACATTTCCGAATATTGTTCAGTCAAGCTTGTTGAAAATCCAGTACGTTATTTTTTAGCTTGCTACTTTTGAACGGTCAAATTGACAAAAAAAATGGAGTTATAAACGGATAAAACTAAATTATATGAAGGGTACAATTTTGATACTTGAATCTTGAACGCTCAACATATACAATGCTTTTGAGTTACTTAAGTTCTGCCATCTCTGAATCAGTAGTTTGTTCAATATTAACGTAATAGGTAAGAACCCTAGCCTACTATACATTAAAAAGAAAGACGTTTTAATGGCGCTTATCGCGATTTCCGGCCTTGTAATACTACCAAACTATCGCTACCTGGTGCCACCTAGTGCCAATACAGGAAATGTTTGCTGGGGTTTATTTGGTATGAGCGAGTTGTGCACTCCCCCCCTCTCTCAACCTACAGCCTAGATTGAAGTATTTATTAAAATCTGTTATTAGAACGGCTGGTGCGACATATGAAAGTTGAAACCTCACCTTTAAACTTTCTCTACTTAAATTCATGTAATGCTTCATTCAGCAATATGCTTATCAACGATCTAGTTAGACTGATGAAAGCTAAGAGAGGACTGGAAATGTGCTTCTTAATCTGAACTGATGTTACCAATTTTTCTAACCTAAAGGCGAACTATAGGCTTATTTACTATATTACCATTTAGGCTTTTGTAGGCTGATTTAATCGCAACTGTCCAAATATCATTCGTCAATTGTAAGGAAGTGATAATGCTATTTAATTTAAATACGTATATTTAGGAATTTCAATTCTTAAATCAATAAATTGTCATAAACCTGGTGGTAAAAGTTAAGAATGCTTTTTTTTTAAAACTTGAGTATCGAGAGGACTTTTGTATTTCAAGCGTGAGAACGATAAAAAATATTTCGTTCGATATGGAAATGAATATCATTAGGCAGTATGAAAGGTATGTTTCTTTGGCAACCTTTTTAATAGTATAAATTGGAAATTAAATACAATTTACACGAATCTAAGTAATAAGGATAAGGGTAAAAAAAGACAAAGAAAATTATACAAACAGGTCAAAAGTATTTTGTAAAACAGTATCAATAACAGCTAAGTCAAGCCTTACGCGTGTATGTGATGATAAAAAAAAAAATCATTTTTTCGAAATTTGTCATCTTATACCATTCCTAAAATTCCTTTTTACCTGTTTGTGTAGTTTTCTTTGTATTTTTTTCCGTTGTCTTTTTTTTTACCTTTGTCTTTATTACTGCCAATGTATTTAAACAAATACACAACGGAGAGAAAATAGCACTGAAGTTAGTACTATAATTGAAGTAAAAAGACGAAGGATCAAATGCTTGACTCTTATCTTGACTTGTTTCTCATAAAGGTTTATTATTATATTTTTCTACATAATTTAAGGTACTCTAACAATACTCCTGCCAGTGGATCAGCAGTGAGTCCGGTGCTTATAATACCAAAAATCGGGTTTCGATACCCGCGGTGGGCAAAGCACAGATAGTACATTGTGTAGCTTTGTGCTTAACGAACAAACAACATCTAACAATACAAAACTTCACAAAAACTACTGTAATAAAAAGATACAGGCATTTATTTAACTTTAATTTTAATAATAAGTCCTGTTTAGTTTTAATCATAAATTTATTTTAACTAGATATTTTGGTAAAGACGTTTTGTTTTCTGTTAATGTCACGAGCATTGTACATTATGTATTACTGCAATAATGTTGTTCTGATTTTCCAGAGCGCCATTACATTTCAATTGCTGAGAATCGACTGAACAAACTAAGAAGCAACGTGTTGCTTTGGCATGTTGATTGAATGCTAGTTGGATTCACATTTGCATCACCCACTCTCATCTCCAGCACTCTTTCGTTAGTTTAAGATCCTATGATTTCTAACTAAGTCACAGGCACGCACAGGTTCGTCGTAATTCGTTAATGCTTGAATGATAACACTGGATGTAGAGATCTGTTTTACACTAGACTGTCGAATCAAATGGAGTGGTTGAGCAAATGTATACTTAATCAATTTTCTTAGTAAATCACGATATCCTGTGTGTTCGCGCGCGTGTGTTTGAAATAAAGCAAAATTATTTTAATCGATAAATGTAAATTTGATCTGCTGAAATGGTTAATTTGTTACCGTATGAGGTCACAATATTATCACTATTAATTATTAACACAAAGTTATACAATTGGCTATTTTTGCTGTGCTCATCTCTGGTATCGCGCTCCAATTTTTAGCGTGATAAGTCCTCAGACTAACACTTGAGCCACCGAGGGTCAACAATGTTATTAAAACAAAACAAAATTTAATACACATTTCTTTCCCGGCACGAGAGATAACAAGATATTTTAAATATTCATTGACTCTGTAGGTCTATTCAGTCTATTTTAATTTTCGCCCCCCCCTACACACTCCGAATGGAAAATCTGGGTCTATTAAGCAAAATGTTCAGAAATTAACTTTGGAAGTTGTATGAGTAATAAAATATAGCCATATGTGTCAAGTTCAGAAAACGTAGGTGTGTGTGTGATACGATGCAATTGCCAGATGCTTCAAATGTGCAGTGCGGTGTCTATAACAGGTATTTTGAGAGCTGTCTGAGCTCAACTATAAATTTGATATCTCGCTACTTATCGTACTAGTAACTAAGAAAATTCGGTTGTCCAGTATAAACTGCAAAATATACCAATATCAATGTGTGTGTGTGTGAAATCCTGTTACTGGTATGGATTTTAAGAGTAAGTCTTGTTCATACAGATACGTTAAAGTATGTATTATTAACGAGTATTGAATTGATTTAGCTTGAATGTTTGTTTTTATTCTAAGCATACAACTACGACGTTTCACTTTAATTAGTATTTTTTTCAAGACATAAAGCTCTGTAAAGAATTTCGAGATTAATTACATGTGTAATTATCAGGCGAGTAATTTTTGTAAGCAAATGGACATTGTCCACATGTATATGATATGTTTAACTAATATTGCAAAATGTTAATATAGGAATAAAATTGGTAGATTATTTGTTTTTTTCATTAATGTTTTTTCAAGGTTAATAGTGATACCGACTCGTTACGAAATGGCCGCGAAAAGCAACATCTGAATGTGTATCCAATTATTTTTGTCCATATACTCATTCAAACGATGTGGGTTATAATATTAAATAATAGACCCTTTCATAGCGCAAAATCCAAGCTTAAGAGGAGTGAACATTGAAACTTTAGCTAATGCTAATAGATGAGTAACCGTTGATTAATCAAAGTTGACTAAATGACGTTAGAAATTTCACTTTTTTTGATACTAGCTTAGGAAATGATGACCGAAATGAAATCCTGGCTGATACAGTTGTATAATCGTCAATTTGTCATCTCCCATCGCAGTTTCCCACGTTTTTACAAAGTATTTGATAAGACCTAGGGTCGCTAGTGTATGTGCGTATGTGTATCATCTTAACTGTTCCAAAGCTTTCTGACGTATCAAAGTACAAAAACATTTTAAGATCATGGTTGACTCCGACCAAAAGATTGCTTTTAAATAACATATACTTTAAATTTAATAAAACTGCAGTGAAGTCACAGATTAGAAAAATCGGGTATGACTGCAGAACTCCATAGCTTGACCTTGTATGACCGAACTTCATACTGTGAAGGTTACTCTCGTGCATACTGTTTGAAATAATATAAAACTACATGTTAACTGGCCCTCAAAATAACCAAAACATCAACAAATAACATTTGTCAAATGACATGGATGATGTTTAGTGGTATAGGGACCCCGAGACCTTAAATAAGTGACGTA